AACAAGAGCGTAGTCCCACCGGTGAACGCCCATGACAATACAACGTTGTTGTACCTCGTCACGGGGAATACAACCTTTGACATGAATACAACATCCGGATTCTTGTTTCAGGAGGCGTGCCCATCCGGCCCAGGTTCCAGTAACCCCAGCGGATGTCATTGTACATAGATCGTGTTATTGTCTTGCATCATTTAGTGACGCTCTTTGAGGTCATTATGAGGATGTCCTTGGTAGTATTTAACATGACAGTATGTGTTGATGCTCTTTATAGTGATATGTGAATTATTCATTTGTCGCGATGTTTGCAGTCAAATACCGTTTCTTTTACTTTTATGGCAAGGTCAGTGATGCACAAGACCATTCCAGGCCATAATGTCGTGTTGGTGCCAAAACATGCACTCCAAGACACTCGAGCTCCGTGACGTACTTACTGTATAATACTGTTTTAGACACAAGAATATTTGTTTGAGTTGGGGTCAGATGGTTCAGTACATACGTTTTCTTCACAGTTGGTGAATAAATTGTTCAGATGTTATGGTCAAATAGCATTGTCCTTTAGTTTTTGTGAAGTTTAGTCATATATTTTGCTGATTCATATCTTGGTAACTAAAAGCCACAAAGGCAAGGAAAAATCTACTAAAAAAGGTGATTCAAGTTAAGTGTTGCATTTTTGTATTTAAGTCATCATTTGCAAAATAACTTTTTGTTTCAGAGTAGTTTAAGAATATTTTGGCTAAAAATAAGTTTCATGTTATTGCCTACCTATTATTACCTATAAACCATTATGTATTCGCGCGTTTTTATTTAAATTCCTTAACACTGACCCGTGAAGGTCCGGGTTAGAATTGATCTCCAGTAACCCATGCTTGTCGTAAGAGGCGACTAACGGAATCGGGTGGTCAGGCTCGCTGACTTGATTGACACATGTCATCGTATCCCAGTTGCGTAGATCAATGTTCATGCTGTTGATCACTGGATAGTCTGGTCCAGACTCGATTATTTACAGACCGCCGCCATATAGCTGGAATATTGCTGAGTGCGGTGTAAACCTAAACTCACTCACTCACTCATTAACAATGTATGAACCGACAAAAACTGGTTAAACCGTTCTCTCGTTACGAGTTAGACTCTCCACAGTTACAATGTGTGAAGCCCATTCCCAACATCTCCCGCTGTGATCTTGCTAAAATCGGCGTAAAACCACACGTCAGTAGAGAACGTAGTATTTAAACTCGTCATCGTGTTTGAAAATGATATCTTTTGAACTATTATTTTTAAATATTCGATTGTCTTGTCGCACATTTTCACACGTTTCACGAATAAATGGAGAGTATACATCAGTATGCTTCTATGTACATTTACATGTGTGAAAATGCCAATGTGTAACTTTAACACCGCGTGCTCCCTTAATATGACTAAACATGCTTCAATATCTATTAATTGTCTCGGTATGACATATATTTAGAGTTCGAGTATAATTCAGTGTTTTATTGTGGCCATTTAGTGTTTCACTATGCCTTCTTATTTTGATGTGGCCATTTAGTGGTCGAATATGTCTTCTTGTTTTAATATGCCTAGGCCTATTTAGTGTTCCAGTATGTCTTCCCGTTGTATTGTGGCCATTTAGTGTTCCACTATGCCTTCGCATTTTAATGTGGCCATTTAGTGTTCCAATATGTCTTCTTGTTTTAATATGCCTATTTAGTGTTCCAGTATGCCTTCGTGTTTTAATATGCCTATTTAGTGTTCCAGTATGCTTACGTGTTTTAATGTGCCTATTTAGTGTTCCAGTATGCCTTCGTGTTTTAATGTGGCCATTTAGTTTTCCAATATGCCTATTTAGTGTTCCAGTATGCCTTCTTGTTTTAAATGTGGCCATTTAGTGTTCCAGTATGTCATCGTGTTCCAATATGTCTTCTTGTTTTAATATGCCTATTTTTTAATGTGGCTATTTAGTGTTCCAATATCTTTTTGTTTTAATTTGCCTATTCAGTGTTCCAGCCTATTCAGTGTTTGACTATGCCTTCGTGTTCTTCTTGCTTTATTGTGTATTTATGTGCCCTATTTATTTGTGTTCTATGCCTTTTTCTTCTTGCTTTATTGTGTTTATTTAGTGTTCCACTATGCCTTCGCGTTTAAATGTGCTATTTAGTGTTCCACTATGCCTTCGCGTTTTAATGTGCTATTTAGTGTTCCACTATGCCTTCGCGTTTTAATGTGCCTATTTAGTGTTCCACTATGCCTTCGTGTTTTAATGTGCTATTTAGTGTTCCAGTATGCCTTCGCGTTTTAATGTGCTATTTAGTGTTCCACTATGCCTTCGCGTTTTAATGTGCTATTTAGTGTTCCACTATGCCTTCGCGTTTTAATGTGGCTATTTAGTTTTCTAGTTTGTCTTCTTGTTTCCAATGTACCTATTCAGTGTTGTGCTTTAATATGCATCAGTATGCATAGCATTACGTATTCCTAAATCTACTTTAATACATCTTAATATATGCCGGAATACCTCAATATCCATCGGCATGTACCACTCCACTTGTCTGAACAGACTTGAAGATGGAATTATTTACTTTAAAGGAAAATATGCTTCGTCAACTCCTCGCCCATGCTTGTAGACCCCGAAGCCGCTCCTATGTTAGGTCAACAGTGCCCTTTGTTTGTGAACCTTCAGTACCATGGCGATAAATTGGGTACACTAAGAAAGGTGTTATAAATCAAGCCTATTAAGCACATTGAACCCGAATCGTTTGGATAAAATATAACAAGGAGATTCTTTCATTTTCAGAAAATGTCCTTATCGCCAACAGGTAATATTTTCTTGAACACTCCTATTTAATTTTAATCGCTGTGGTATGGTAGAACTGGCTGAAGGGATTTAACAATGGATCACTTTTAGGGGTGCGTTGCATACGATGAACATGCAGCCTCCACGCAAACAGTAAAGCATGGTGTAAAAAGGGGAATATTCTTTACGAAATATGACTCCAATGTCGGTAATGAACCAAGAAGTTATAACGTCTGTTATCTAAGAAGAATTTAACCAGACTTTTCAGAAATAACTATAGACAAATGTTTAAATGTGATAGTATCAGTTTAATACAAGTATCCATATATTTATTAGCTATTGTGATCACATGTCACAGTTCATTTAGAGAAATTCAAACATATTTAAAATACTGTGAACGATGTTGATTGTTTCAATGAGTGAGGGAGTTGGGTTTGATGCTACGTTCAATAATATTTCAATAATGTCATTGAGTGTTATGTTCAACATGGGAAGGAACCCGTATGCTATATGGATCGATCGCCCTGTGTGATTCTCTTCCAGTCACTGACTAATTTATTCTTTTCCAGTTGTCTACAATCCGGCAATGTTCCATAGAGATTGTAAATCCTTGAAGGTGTGTATTTTTTATTATCATATATATTTATATATACTATTTTTTCTATATTTGTGTATTTTATTCATTTGAATTTCACAACCTTTTTTTCAAATAAGTCAAAAGCACCTTCATTTAATTTCGCAACAATGAAAATGAAATCTCTGTTTAAACGAAACATTATACAGGATTTAGAAAAATGACCACACCCAGTCATCGTAGAAACACACGCCCCAAAATGTCTACAAAGATACTTGATAGTTTTTAAAACCCAATAGCGGTGTGAGGTTGAAAATAGCTATCCCACGTGTACAGTACTTAATGCACACGTGCGTAGATCACCTTACTGATTCCCCATGCCTTCTGTGGCACCTAGTGACGACTTTAACGTTGTTATCACAAAACAGCTATCAACACTGTCGTAGTTGTACTATGCTAAATTTATGAATGAACTTTTCTTGTGGTATGGATACAAGCCAGGGATCTTGCGCAATCCCGTATAGGACTTGTCGCACAAACCAGGGATCGGTCAACAGAGATAACCTGGACTGGCCAGTCCACTCCGAAACGGGGGGACATATTTTGTTATCTTTGATGAATAAGAGCCTATTTTCGTCATTTTCATTGAATTGTGAAAATGTCGCCGATCTGGTTTCCAATAAGCTTCAGTTTCTGCACCATTGTCGTTCTGTAATCCACATACTCTCACATACAACCGCTGACATTTGCACACTGCTTTGTATTATAGATGTGCGTACAAGTGGGAGTGCATTGTATATTGTATTTTGTATTGAAACGACTGGATATCATGTAATCGTGTATATATAGTTTGGAGTGGATATATGTACATTGTATTTTTGTCATGAAATGGTTTCGTGCATTATATCTCTGTAGTGTGTTTCTTCTCTGGAGAATATCATTATGTCTTTAAAGTGTATAGTGAGGTTGTTGTTTATATAAAAACTTGTTTTGTGGGTATTCATGTTTTCTATTTATGTTATTATTTCTCTGTGTAATAATGTCATGTAATACCACACAAGTGGGTCTACATGGAACATGGAGCCCAACCTGGAATAACTGTCACAAAAATCATAGACAATCATTTGTGCATTCCTATTTCATTGATTGTAGTACAAAGGCATAGTGATTTTTCTTTTCGGTAAAGGATTTTAGTTTAATAAATCATCGAGATGTCCACTTTAATTCATAATTCATATTATAAGTATTGACTGTCATGAACTGTTTGAGAAGCATTCTAGAAGTTGTAAGTAATAGGAGTGACAAGTCTTTATGGATGATCAGCTTTATTATTGTATAACAGCGACGTTTCGGTACAAATACATATACCGTTTTCTTGTCATTCCTATTAACTGTAATATTCTACAATTTGAGCCAGATCGGTTTCCATTCCTGTCAGAGAACAAACAACATGAACGATGAAAAGAAATCTCCAAACAAATATAAACACACACACACACACACACACCCCATGGAAAACTGATCCCCAAATAGGCCACCTACTCCCCCATCTTTTGCTCTGCCACCCTGTCACCCCTACGTTGGGGGCGGGGTGGAATCTTCCATTGTCATTGAGCAGGGATTTCACCACTTGAGGGAGCAAACCCCAAATCACGTGACTGCAGGCGTTGGACGCCGTACAAATACGGAGCAGGTTTGCTGTACCTCGTATTGATCACGTTGACGAGCCGGCGGGATTTAGAGCAGTGGCCAACAAAAACTTTCTTCAAAACAACCCCACTATGGTCTCTGCCAGCGCAATGCAAGTGTCTGCCATCGTTGTATTATTTGGCTGTGTCATATCTGGAACCTTGGCTTGTTTTATCAGGAACTGCCCACCCGGTGGTAAGCGAGGCTTGGACATGAGTGGACACAACGCACGGGAGGTGAGTAACGCTGCCCTTTAGATACCTCTATCTAGCGTCGTATCACAGTCCGGTGATACCCGATATATCTTCACCGTCTTCTTCTTAACCTTATGGTTGTGCACACATGTAATGGGTACTTTAGATTTTATGAATAAATTCCGTTGGTACATTTCTTTTTAAGTTTCTTGTCAGGGTTTGAGATAAGCTTGATACATCTTCATCTTCTTGTTTTAACCCTCTGCTCAATGAACACGTGTGTATTGGTACTTGAAGATTTTATTAACCAATTCCGTTAGTACATTTCTTTTTAAGTTTCTTGTCAGGGTTTGAGATAAGCTTGATAAATCTTCACTTTCTTCTTCTTAACCCTTTGCTCAATGAACACGTTTGTATTGATACTTGAAGATTTTATTAACTAATTCCGTTGGTACCTTTCTTTTAAAGTTTCTTGTCAGGGTTTGAGATAAGCTTGATAAATCTTCACTTTCTTCTTCTTAACCCTCTGCTCAATGCACACGTGCGTGGGGGCACTTGAGGATTTTATGAATAATTCCATTGGTACATTTCTTTTTTTAGTTTCTTGTCAGGGTTTGAGAAAAGCTTTAACGATGGCCTTTCATTTGACACATCTTAAGGGGTGCATATCTTACAGTGTTCATGTCACACCCTGTTGATACCCGATATTTCGTTTTTGAGCGTTTTTATCTGGATGTAACAGAAGTTGCAATGCTGGATTAAACGTTCCCAACCTAGCCGGAGGTTGTTTTGGTATGTTTAAGTGCAAGTGATGAAGTTATTTATCTCTTGGATGTCTTATCAGGACTGATTAAAACCTGTTAAAAACTGAGCAGGAGATTGCAGCAAATGTGTATATATAAATGAACGAATTACAAAAAACCCTGAATGTTTGGTTTTGAGAACAAAATTACTGTTACCTTTCTAAAATTCAATTGATGTTCAACTTTTGCAATGACATTCGTGAGATTTCGAAAATGTCCATAGATGCCAAAGACGTTTTGGTGTTTAGTGGTGACATTTTCCCTGTTGTGTACGTTTTTCACCTTTGGTGGATGGGAACGTAATGTATGCGCTTTGACAAAAAGTGGTCATATGCAGAAACATTGCATACATCCGTGAACGTTTCAATTGGTTCGTATGCCTTGATCATGTTTTTACTAAAAATATTGAGAAATGAAATAAGAACCAAAATGCTTTGAACAGTGCAACAACAAGCTTTTATTTAAACTACATTCAGAGAAACTTCCTTCCAGACAGATGAGCGTGAATGCACAGTAAATGATCTTCTTCCATAATTAGCGCCTGGAGACGATTGCTGCCAAGAAGGAAGAACCATAATGGGTTATACCGAGGAATCCTCTAGTTGGATACTTGTTCATAAATACTAATGAATACTTACAGTCCACATAACCGGAGATATACTTTTTAGGATATATTCACACATCGCATTTACGGTCTACACGTGTTCATTAACACGTGTGTCCGAGAGTATAACGTCATACGTACGTACTGTGTGAATTATCGAGTTTCCTCTTTCTGTCGGTGCCTTCTTATATTACATTCAGGGTCTATCGTTTTAAGACGTTTACAAGACTGACCATTAACATGTTCATAGGGTAATGCATGTATGTACGTCCAGTGCGACTTAACGGGGTTCAGATTTCTGTTGACTTTCGCATTACTTGCCCCCTCGATTTCCCAATACAAACACAGTCAGCTTGAATTTATTCTATCCGACACCTGAAATCATTCTTACAAATGGCTTTGTTTTGTTAAGAAATTCGTTTACATGCGCTGCTGAGATAGTCAATTACATTGTATTAGAAACCATATCAGACGTTCTACTTCCACTTTTCATCTTTAATGATACTGTCAAAGTGTGGACATTTTCTATACGTGCACAAACTGTACTGGAAGGCTAAGCTAACACTATCCTTTTGCGATTGTCACGACTAAATTAGTTGAAAGCATTGCACAAAAAATACTGCAGCATGACAGCATCAACTCTTTTGATAAAGCCAATCACAGTCTGTTACTGTTAAAATCAACGCCATTGCAGTTAAGACATCGCTGCATCCAACGTAGGCTGCCGCAACGATGTTGTAACGTAACGTCATCAGTTGTTGACGACGCTGTTCACAAGAGTACCTATCAAGTAGAATATGCCGCGAGCAAGTCAGATGACATTTGAGTCCTTTATATTAATGAAATGCAATATGTGGGCATCCCATTAATATATAACAGCATCCTTTGGGGCCTGTTCCTCTGACCGTCAACTGAAGAAATGCATAATTTGCTCTTTCAGAAATATAATTAATAAATGTTTTTGCTAATTATTCCACATTCGTCGAGCATGAAACCATAGACGTGAACGGAAAAGGTTACAACCCCATGTTGTTTATTGTAATATTGACATTAAGGCTGGCTCTTCATCGTCTTCATGAAACTCAATGTGGCTATGCGTCATATTCCAATCTACATTCAAGTGTACATTCATTTCTTTATGCGTCAAATCAGTATTAATGTTAACGTTAGACTACAAAGCTGTTTATATGAAATGTTTCAAAAATAATGTAAGTCTCACTCTTGGTGATACAGAACATTGAGGGTTCCAGGTTCGAACTAGTCCCCCCAAATCGTCTTGTAAAAAGTGGATTGGGTGGTCAAGCTCTGTGATTGTAGTCTTTTCTCGACGGGGAGTAATCCTAATATCCTCCCCGCATGATGTGCCTCGCCCACTTTGACGATGTGCATGTCATCGTGATGTTGCTAGAATGTTTACTATTGGCGTTATACAAACAAACCTAGTCCAGAATACTAAATTGAAATATGATAATTCCATTGACATTAAATCTATAACGTCATCCCCAGGTAATGACATTTCCCGATTAACTGTCAAATCAGATTCCAATGGACGTTAAATGCAACCTAACAGTGTAGAATTAGATATCTATCAATGAAACTTAGAATGACAGTGTTCAAGAAGAGGGAAACTTGCATACCCTACCGGTAACACCCGCAAATCACACAATTTGCATAAAATATATATGTAAAAACACGAATTCAGATATAAGATCGTCGGCAGGAAGACGCTGATACAATGAGTAAAATTCTTTGTTCACGGGGTTAACGTCGAGTATGCTTCTAGAAGATCTCATTCCGTGACATGGCGCAGTTTTAATTCTTAACATGAGTGTCAAGTTCCACCTGGGTGTTCAAATGTCAACATGGCCGCTTGACTTCTGTACAATGCAGCTCCTAAACAGCACGTGTCGTCCGGACGTTTCACAACCTGGGGTTTCCAAAACTCGGATATCAACACAGCATTTATATCTCAGTTGTGAAGTCGTGTAAACACTGTATGTTACTGATAAGGGACATTAGGTGCGTCTTGGTTTGAAGTGGTTATACCGTTAAGCTGACATTATCATAATTAATGTCGTGCAATTGTGCTGACACACGATGTTGTGGACAAGTACTGTTATATTTAACAGTAACGTCATGGACCTTGTGTTTCTTTGTTTCTTTGTTTTCTGTACGCTGTAATCAGCAATATTCCAGCTATATGGCTTCGGTCTGTAAATAATCGAGTCTGGACATATCAATCCAGTGATCAACATCCCGATCTTCGATCTACGCAATTGGGATACGATGACGTGCGTCGACCACCGAGCCTCTTAGTTAGTCGCGCCTTACGACAAGCATGGGTTGCTGATGACCAATTCTAACCCGGATGTCCATGTCATTGGTCTTAAGACTAAATACCATGATCTTGTTCATGCTACGTGCATCCATGATATTTCTACATTCTTTTTTGTATTGATTACTCACAGTAACTCTGTAAGTAATTCCAGACTTGTGCTTATAAGCACATCGGAATAAGCAGATAACTTGTTTCTTCAAAAACTTTCTATTAACTTTCTCTGTTGTTTAATGCCGCGATCCGCAATGATCGGTTTGTAAATAATCGTGTCCAGACAAGAAAATCCAATGATAGATATCATGAGCGTCGACCAGTGCCTATGTGTTAAGGCAGAGTACTAAGCAGATTCAACGAATATGATCCTTGGTTCATCCGGGCAGTGGGATAGCCTATTAGTAAACGCGTCCGCTCGTCTCGCCGACGACCCGGTTCGAATCCTCACATAGATCCAATGTCATAAGCCCATTTCCGGTGCCCCCCGCCGTGATACTGCTTTGATATTGCAAAAAGCGGCATAAAACACGACTCACTCACTTATTTTGTCAACATCACACTCGCGCCCCCAGAACACACAGATAGTGAAAGACATTGCCCGCACCACCACAAAATCGTACCACTAAAAACTGAGGCGTTAAGCCAAACCCTTGACCTACGACGCCCATGAATGCAAAGCTGCATCCGGTTGTCGAGTAAATGGAACATAGTCCTGATAAATATACCCGTACACCCCATGTGATATTCACCCGGAAACCCTCGGAGATGGCCACAGAAAGTAGGTCGACACTTGAAGCCCCGAGTTAAGCAAATATTCCTCGACTGGTGTACTTTGCGGTTTTTGTTTGGAGTTATGATATGAAATATGATGCACCTGTTGCTTTGTACTTGTTTCAAGTTTAAAGGAGTTGTTCGCAGTCGAAGGATCTGCAATGTATCGGATCTTCATGATTAGTATGTCGCTCGACAGGTCGAAGGGCAAACTAACCCGGCCTCGTGGTTAAAGCGTTCGCTCGTCACGCTGAAGACTGGATTCGCTTCCCCACCTGGATGCGATGTGTCCCCCGTCGTGATAATGCCGTAATATTGTTTAAAGAGGCGTAACACTAAGCCAGTCACTCATGATTGGTATGTCCATTCATTTAGCTGATGTAGTCACGCATGGAAACTAACATGCAAAAGAAAGAATACTGAAATTGCTTCTTATGAAGTTGAAAATTGAAAGAACATTTGTATAATTTGATTATGTCTTTTTAACATGACTCCTTGATGAAACGATTTTGTAAAACAAATATCTTCGACC